TTCTGAGGAAGGGTCACCGGACCCGAAACGTTAACTCTGTTTTTTCCCTCACAGATGCTGCCAGACCTGCTGAGCTTTTCCAGCAACTTTGTTTTTGTTGTTGAAATTGGTTTTCCCTATCTACCGGATTAACTTGGTTTCTCATTTAATTACATCGTTCCTTAATTTTCAATGTATGAGGGAAACCAGCTTAATCTGTGCACCCTGCCTTCAACGTCGAACTCTTTCAGAGCGGACAGCATTGTGAACTGTAACGTTTGATCACCAACTGGGCTGTAGCTCACTTTTGTTTCTAGCTGGTCTTGTGCTGAATACAGGTTACTCGATATAACAACGTCATACATTTGAATAGAGTGAATCCACACAATTAATAACTTGTGCAGTAGATTTGCCACACTTAAAAACAAACTATAACAAGGCACTGAACCAGGGATGGCTGTGGTTAGCAACTGCCTGCTAATTGATAGCAACCCAGAAGGCTTACATTCTGTTGAGGAAGGATCCCAATAAAATTTGACAGCCTGTTTACTGCCAGAGTCTAAAGTAATTTTGATGACTCAGTTAGTCTAAAGCGACTGCGAGATCTCTAAGGGAAGGCCATGTCAAAGGAAGCAATCTTGTTAGGATCTACAATACAGACCTTTGCTTTTTTACTAGAGTTCTACCAGAGTCTGAAAGATTCTCAGCAAGCCATCAAAATTATTTGCTTGAATTTGACAGTGACCTTTTTTCTTGGGTCGGTATCTACCTGAACATATCTATTTCCACCTGTTGAATTAGGCAACGGATCACTTTCAGAGATTTGCAAGGGTTTTTAATTGTTAAAATCTTGTTTAGCACCAATACCAGTTTCCACATTTCCCTTTCTTTCCCTGTAAACAAATCTTCTCACTGTATTTCAGTACACGTGACAATAAATAAATCAAAGTCCAGAAGCCAACTCCCCACTGGGAAAGAACCCAGCTCATTTTTAAAAATCTTTTGAAGCCCGCCAGCAAATCAAATTAAATAAAGAACAAACTGGAAGCACCGCCAAACAGACGCAGTGAAGAACTGAGCTCTTCATACCTGTTCAGAGATGTTGTTGCACACCTCTAGGGCAGGTGGGACTAGAAGTTGGGCCACTCAGCTCAGAGACAGGGACACTACCACCTCACCACAAGAACCCTCCTTTATGCCGGCTCTTAAACCCAAGGTTCATTGTCAGCTGTCAATCAAACTCTGGTCAACCCTTGGAGGGATCTCTTACTCTAACACTGAAACTCCCGAGAGAACACCTTGGTCTTTTTTAAATCCAATGGCTCCTTCCCTGTCAGGAAAGGTAGAATATGATGAGTAGGCTATACTCTAGTGAGTCATTGGTGAGACTCAGCCACAACAAGGCAGATATATTCAACTAAGAGATTGCCAATCAGGAGTGGCCTTCTCCTGTTGGTTGGAACAGGGAGCAGTAACTGGGAGGGGTTTTGTGGACCAGTCTGAGGATGCCAACTCCTCACCAGCTAGACTCCAGCAGATTAAACCTACGTCAAGGCTTTCCAAAATGCAGGTTAGGACCCCAGGTGGAGTTGTGAGCGGAGGTTCTAGGGTCACAAACTCTGAGACCCTAATAACCACCATGCAGCATCAACCATGTTACAGCAGCCATGCTCCCAGTCTATCATGCCCCTCACCCTCCAGTCTCACGGGTCTTTGCCACCACAGCTCAGATCTCCTCCCAGCAACCCCCCTGGCCCCAACACTCTCAGTTCTCACTGAGGGCTCACCACATCTTCTTCAATCCTTGAAACAGGGTCAGTGCAGGAAACCATTTGGGGAGCACCAGCCTGGGAGAAAGTGGTTTACGAAAAATATGTAAAGATATCAAAGTCCTGTCCTTACCCCTGGTGCTGGTGTACCCCAGAGAGCTGCTAACTTCGTACTGGTGAAGGTGAGGCCGTGGGATCAGGAGAATATTTGAAATCTTCCCAAGTGAGCTGTCATCAGAGGCCTGACTCCTGACTTCCTCCAGCAGTGCTCCCCTGTGGTGGGGCGGACTGTTTGAAACGTCGTAGGAGCTGGAACTTTTCCTGGTGTGGCTTTCTCGAACAGGCCTGAAATTAGGGACGAGAAAACCAGGGTCATCGGACGGAATTGCTCAGACATCACATGCGGCACGACCAAAAGAACCAAAAGCATGGTAATTTTATAACTGTCTGACAGTCAGAACACAAAGAAACAGAATGTAACAGCACAGTGATGGAATGGGGAGCCTGTAATCCAGACACATTGTTTCCAAATCCCACACCGCTCCATCAAGTCCTCAGCTGGTCACCACAAGGAATGTCCAAAGTTACAAAAGGAATAACCAGCAGTGAGGCAATGACCCAGTATTTACCCTTACTACTTCCCTAGTTGTTTAAGAGTCATAGAGAAATACAGCAATGGAAACAGGCTCTTTGGTCCAACTCGTCCATGCCGACCAGATATCTTAAATTAATCGAGAACAAAAATAATGTTGCTGGAAAAGCTCAGCAGGTCTGGCAGCATCTGTGAAGGAAAAAACAGAGTTAACGTTTCGGGTCCGGTGACCCTTCCTCAGAACTGTTCTGC